CACAGACAGTTGTTAACAAATCTGTTAATAAATCTGTTCCAGCTAAATACGCTAAGGAATGGCCTTTCGGAGAGGTCCTGAGCCTTGCTTTAGAAGACCCCAATGAGACAGGACAGACAGGTATTTGAGGATTTATCCCCCAATTTTATATTGTAAGTTGCTTTCAAATAGCTTATTGCTGTAAGAATATACTGTCATCCCAAATGTATTCTCTGTCTTCATGAAAAGAAACACCATGTTTTCATGCCTCATTGTCAAGTACTTGGTTTTACCAATAGGAGAAAAAGAAGAGGAGGAGGAAAAGAAGAAAAARGGGGAAAAAGGGCCCAGCAAGAGGGAGAAAATTGACTTCTTAGTTCTGGCCATCTTTTCCATAATTTAGTTTTCCATACTGAAGTTTGCTAAATAGCTTTAAACTACAGTTTGATTTCAAAAAAAAAAAAAAAAAAAATCCCCACAAAGGTAAGAAGCAACAAAGCCAAGAAACCCAGTGCATTCCTTTTCTCTTTGTCATGTTTAAATAAAATGTTGGGTGTATAGTAGTTAAAAGCTTTGCAAGATTCCAGGCCATCAAAATACTTTCCCCCTCCTCACCCCGTATCCAGGGTTAAAGATGTCCTGGTGATTTATGATAACAAAGTGACACTTAGCAGCTGAAGAACTCCAGACACCAGGGGAAAGGAAAGCATGCCGGGTGCCTGGGTGGGAGGCTATCGATGCTGCAGCAGCRAGGTATTTCTGCTGGGAGGGCTGGGTACAACTGTGCACCGAGAGTAACTGCTCCCCACCCACCGAAAGCAGAAAGTTCACTAAAACTTCTGCCTGTATGTCCATAAAAAAGCTGCTTTCTGAGAAGAATGATAAACAGAAGGCAGTCAGGGTGTGCACTGTGGCCTTAAAAGAGGTCAGAAGAGAAATTCCATTCCTCCGAGATAAATGCCTGAGTGATTACTGCTTCCTAACAATTTGTAGCACCCTGTCATCTTACTGAGCATCGCTTTATAATCACAGTTTATAAATTCTTCTGTGCTAGCTGTAGTATCATCTTTCAAAGACGTGCCTGACTGATTAAGTTTCCAAAAGTACTAAACATCCCCAGTGGGATTCAGTTGAATTAATMCAGAGTTTGACACTGAGATTTATCCCAGTGGTCTAGAACAAGCTGATTTCAGCTCTTTKTAAGAAGAGCTATGTTGAGTCTCAGGGAATTAAAAAAGTCAGGCATGGTCCTTAGAGCTTGCAGAAGTTTTTGAAATGTTCCTGTGACTGATGCTCCAGGCTCTCTCAGGATAAAGGAGGTGCCCATCAGTCAGCTGTGCAACAAATGCACTTCACAAACTCTTGTTTGGAATGCCAAGCCTCATACTGGACAGAGGACCTTGCAATTAGCTGCATCAGAGGATGCTGAGGGCGATRCTGGGCTAAGAACGTGTCTCTGAATTCTTACTAGGCTTCAAGAAAGTCACAGAGGCAAGCCCCTCTGAAGAAAAGAGTAGAGTGAGAAGAGTTAGCAATAGCTCTGTGTGAACAAAGTACAGCTGAAGACACTTCAAGTTGAACTGTTAGGTGAGAAACAGTGCAATTGGAGAAAAAAACAAAGAGATTGTAAAATTCTTTACCTTCACACACATGAGTAGAGGCTGGATCCAGAGGTATGAAATGATCACGCAGCACTCCTCCTAATGTTAAATTCCTAGGCTGTAAGTGAGAACGACTCCTTTCAGGAGACAGAACAGGCATTAGCTGTGCCCAGGTGAAGCAGCAAGCGTGTGCAGGGCTCTGGGCGAGCCAGGCAGTGCTGCCTGCCTTAGCTGCGTCACGGAATCCAGGGATGGCTCGGCTGATAGCAGGTGCCCAGGCCTCCAAACGGACCATTGCTTTCAGACACTTTACATGTATAATTACAGCCCTCATATTTCTAAGTAAGGCTCGTCTAGGCTYGCTTCTGTTTCAGTGCCATGTTTGCTTTTGGCTGGCCAGTGGAATGGGCGTACAGCCTGCAGTCGGTGCGCACTCCGAGGTCCTGCAAGGCAGTGATCTGGTACAAAATAAACTCAGAAGAGAAGGTGGTGGGAGAGGGGCAGCCTCACTTTTCCAGATTGGTTTTCCTCCCTGTGGATATTTCAATCCAGACCATTACAAGACTCCGGATAATAAACAATAAAATCTGACCTGCCCTGACCTGTGGGGATTAGATTAAACTAAACCTTCTTTTTTTTTTTTTTTTTTTTTTTTTTCATCTTGACTGCTTGGATTCTTTGATAAATGTCAACTGTGGGATTATTTATAGCGTGCAAGGTATTTGCACACTATAAATGCACCCTGTAAGCAATACACCCACAAGCCTGTACTCCACCTGGCACATATTAAGTCAGTCAGACACACAGCAGTCAAAGTCATAGGCAGCAATGCTCAGGAAGAAGGGAAATAGGCAAAACAGCAACAATTCACAATTGTTCACAAATTCAGCAATTTCACAGCAGTTACAGTAGACTGGTGTTCTCATGTATTTCCTTTTCTGATGCCCTTTGTGTTTCATTTTCCACATGAGTGTAGATGACACTGGAGCAAAAGGTGATCAGTGGCATCAGAAAGCTGCCTGTCTTTCAGTCTGAATGGGAAAAAAATCACGTTCAGAAGGAGAGCTGAGGAGTGGCAAGCAAGCAGAACGTAGAGGTTAGAGGGGAACGCTAGAACACAATGTGCCTGAAATGAAACATTTTGTAAGAGATTAGATTGGAGGAGAGAAAGGTGTTCTTCATCCCAGTATCTGAGAGCTTCTTTGGTGTCTTACAAAGCCAGGGGAAGCTTTTCCATTTCAAATGAAGTAAATTACCAAGGCTGCATTTTGTGTGCAGTTCCAACCTCACACATTCCCCATTTGCTGTCTTGATAATCTGCTTGTATCATAGCYTTTTCTGAGGGGAAGCTTCCTGGAGTAGAAAGGGCATAAAACCATATTATGTCTTATACAGGAAAACATATTCTAGAAACCTTTGGAAGAAAGAGCAGACTGACCAAATGAACATAGTGTCCAATAGCAGGRGGTAGCACAGATGTGAAAAGGGAGCCTTCCAGCTCCAACACAGGTGGGGATTACGTTCAGGACTGTGAGAAGTCAGAATCCTCAAACTGCAGCTAAACTTGTGTATTGGTTTAAGAAAACAGCTCTATGCCAGGAGATTGAGCTGGAACAGATTTTTTTTTTCTTTTTTTTTGCATATTAATATTTTATATGACAAAAACAGTTCTCAGCAGAGTAAATGCTTCCTTTTTGTTTCTCTTTGTAGCATAGTCTTCCTGCAGTTCAGGTGCCTCTCTGAGAGGAGGAGCCGTRTCTCAGTTTTGTCTTTGGTCCCCACCTAACAGCTCTTTTTTTTTGTGCGATGGGTACAGGCCAGATGATGAGGCAGAGGAAGACTCCYGTAGAGAGGACAGAGAACATATAAAGTTTGATCAGTAGAAAAAAAAGATTTTTTTTTTCTTGCATGGCAAAAACAAGATCACATAATAGCCATGTGTAACGTGCAAAGAGCACCCACAATCCGGATGCAGGATTAGCTCTTGTGGGATTCTTGTAGGGCAGACAAATGCCATGATGCGGCTTCCCATATTTCCTGCTTCATAAATCCATGCAGGAACCTGCCCCATGGTGGTGCCAGCTCCTCGCTGCTGCCCTTCGGTGCTCCTGCTGCCTTCAAGGAAACTGTGATTTCCTCATCATAATCAGAGGCACTTTGGCTCCCAGGCTCCTGCGCTTATCTCGCTGCCTCGCGCTCTGCATCCGGACATTTCCCACACGGAACTTGGCTTCCTCAGCCCCGCWGGGAAGGCTCCGCAGCCGGGGCTGGCGTGGCGGAGCCCTCACGGGCCGCATGTCGGGAGCGAGGTTCGCTGCCAGTGGTGAAGGGCGCGCGGGGTGCACGGATCCCCCCCGCCAGCCCCGCTGCTGGGAGCGGGCTAGGGAAATGGGGCATCCAGAGCAAAAGCTGTATGGAGCTTCGGGAACAGCGGGAATTCCCAGGAAATGCGGGGGCTTGGCGATCCCCGTGTCACAGTCGCGGCGGGATAGGGCTGGATGGCCTCTCCTGCATCACTTTGCGGTGAAGTCCCGGCCGGGCTCTGCCCGCTCCCGCCG